AGAGCTGGCAGTAGAATTTTCCCACAATGATATGAGTAGAGCTGACGTTTCCATTGAATTTCACATTGCCTTACTTTCCAAAAAGTTCTTCTCATTCAGAGTGGACTGCAGGTTCGACCTTGCATAGATCTTATCAACAAGCAGAGTTTCGAGACTACCAGTTAATCAGTTATATGAGATGTATAATATAACTAATGGATTTGGGGGGCAGATGCAAATAAGAAAAGAGAATAAATAATAACAATCCCCAAAGACCTTTCTGTCTTTGGCCCTGCAGTCGTGTCTGCCAATGATGAAATGGAAGACTCGTGAAACCATGAGAGCAGAAGATACATTTTTCGTTCATAGGTAGGTTTTCGAGAATATAACTACATCTTATATAAAAACAATATTGTTTAGAATCTAAGAAACACGACGAGAATGAGAGGGAAAATTGGTTTTCTCAGAGATTAACCTCAAAAAGCACAAATACTGTGAATGGGAAGAACCATCATTATATAGTATGAAAAAAGGGATTAAGGGACAGAGATAGAAAGTAAATACTATAAATAATTTCACTGAATAGCTCCAAAATCTGCGTCAGCACACATAAACTAATAGCCTCATGTGGTTTAAATGAAAGGAAACTGAGAAAGAGTAAAGTGATCGGCATCCTCACAAAAAAACTTAATAAAAAAGCTTAGATTGAGGGGAAAATTTTAGCTAGTTAGATAAGATATGGATTTTAGACAAAAATTATGAGAAAAGGAATGTAAAGTGGAGTTAAAAATACGGATCAGAGGACCATGAAAAATGGAGGGAAAACCAATAGTGCAAGTGAATGACCTTCACTTAAATGGATGAATAGGCAGAATAAATAGGAAAAAAATCAAATGCAATAAGTCAATTAGAGAGGAGTACTGGCTATAGCAATCAGTGGTAAGGGAAGAATACACATAACCATTAGGTAGAAAAAATATACCATTAAATGATGAGGGATAATAAAATTGGTGAAAGGGATCAATGTTACTTATGACTTTGACAAGAAATTTTACGCCATTCTACTCACCCAAAATACGAATTATGATGCCGGAAAAAAATGTGGGACTATGCCAAATAAAAAGTGTGACGCAAAGGATGCATTATTGGGAGAAAAAGTAAGTAAACGACTTAGTTACGAAAGCAAGGAAAAATAAGCCTAATAAAATTTAGGCAATAAGACCAAGTTCCACCTTTAAGTTTGGTAGCTATCTCTTTTGGCTTCAGAGAATTAGTCAGTTTTCGTCTTTAATTTACTCGTCGTGACATTGAGACCTCGAATAAGGTACTCCAAACTAAGTCCTTTGAAATTGTCTTAACGAGTATTACCAGAATCGGACCAGTGGCTTGGGCATTGGTATTTTTCCTAACCAGTGGAAGAAAATGTGTTCATCATTACAAATATTTCTCACTTTCACTCCACACGTGAAGGATAAATTTAGTATCCTCCCACAATCATTATTATTTTACGAGTTGCATCCCTATTATGCAGAGTACGATAAGAAAAGGGATGCTCATTCAATTGGAAAGTATATGACATATTGGTGACAAAATGTGAATAGAGAGACTAAGAACTTCAACGTCGAGTAAGATTTACAAGTATTTTAAACAGGAACAGAGAGGATCATTAACAAAATCAAACGACATTCCCCTCTTATTTACAAACTGGGGGTGGTAGCCATTAAGTTATGGAAAATCACATTAGGTTCAAAAATATTTAGATCGTAGATATGATGACTAAGATAGTGTGGCCTTCTGTTTTGTCGCAGTATCCTTTAGTCTTATAGTGTTGGTTCGACCTCGTTTTTGCAATTGGGTCGCAGCGTCAGGGAGACCTTGCGAAAATGTTTAAATGTGCTTTCTGACTTAATCCCATGCGGAAGCAAGCTTACATGTGAATCCCACCAGGGACTCAAAAAGAATTGTTTGTTTCCATTGAATATTCCTTAAAAACAATAGGGTTCTTTTATTTTCTATCTAGTATCGGTCAACATTTGGGCTGGAATAGAGGAATCAATCTGCGCAAGTTTAAAGTGATTCAGACTTGGAAGAAACGAGGAGCGTTTCTAAGACGAGATAGCCAGTTTAATATACTTCTCATCAAGAATTTAAGTCGCTTAAGGTGATTTAAGGACTAATAGTTGAGTTGCTTCACAATAAGATTATTAGTTCTCACGATAAAATTGAATATAAATAACCCTTGCCTCTCAAAAGGCTATTTCATCCAGAGTGGACTGCAGTTTCGACCTCGCCCAAGTCTCCTCAGCTCCCCCAGCGGCATTCGATAAAAGGGTCGTGAGTATCGTGGATATGTTATCACTTCGTTACATAAACACGAGTGCCAGTATGTTGTAGGACAGATATGACATTTCAGGCAAGTCAGGCCTCTTACAGATCACATTTTAGTGGGATGATTAACTAAGTAAACATCCATTTGTCATTGCAATCGAAGGAGTTATTTATTTTCAGTATAGGTAAGTTTTGAGACTGGCATTAATTAGTGAATAAAAACAGTCACCCTAGATTCGCTTAATCGACAATCCCGCTATAAAGGCGATTTCTGGGAGTCCTGGCCTGCCTTGAATACCATACACTTCCTGTAATACGCCGGCACAAGTGACTGCATGTTGTAGTGGTAACATCGCTAAGATACTTCATTTCAGATATCGAATCCCGTTGAGAGTGCTTATAGTACGTAGACGAGGCCAAAATTGGAGTCCACCCTGGATGAGGAAACTTTTTGGGAGGCAAAGCTTAGCATAAGTCGATGACATCTGGAGGCCTATCCATCTCACTATGAAAAGGCTCAATTACGAATCTTTTAATCACTTTAGCTGACCTAAGGTGATTAAGTTTCTATCCAATAGATACTGATAATTTCGAAAGTTACCTGCATCGAAAATATACGATTTAGTTACTGAAATAATACAGAAACCTGCAAGAAAAGTATACTGAGTCTGCTTCCTCAAATAGCTGCCTGATTATCTAAACTACTCATTTCCTTCTTCGGTGGACACTGCCTTAGATGAATTATACATCAAGGAGCTGAGCTGAAAATTGCTTGTGAATTACCATTTTGGCTCACTAGAAATTAGGACGTAGACGCCTGCGTCTTCGTGTACATCATAGGCAGCAAGGTGATGAAGTGAGGTGAAGAGGATATAATTCGTCTTTTACATCACAGAGTTAATATAGTGTAGGTTCTTTTGATCCGGCTTTGGAAAATTGAACTTGTTGTTAGGGTTACTTAGAAGAAAGTATCGTCTACCACTCTTTCTGCCAATTAAGCGGTTTTCTCAGATAATCAGATCGATGACTAGGTAAGTTTGAGCATCATCGTAATGAAGGAAACCAGCGCTAGAACTATCGACACTTTGTAAGTGACAAGTAAAAATGTAACAATGACTAATCCTATGCTTACTTACTTCTTGTGCTTCTTCCAATATATCGTGTTCTCTTATATCTGTATCCTCTTTTATCAGTTGAACTTTAATGTCTAAGACTCATATAACTTCTCGAGTTCGTACCCTGTTTCGTTCCGATCTATTTGGGATGTTCACTCCTGGAGAGGAGGGGGCTGATGAGTAGTTTGAAATCTAATTTATAAAATAAGCCGATTATTCGCTTTTTAAGGGATATCTAAAAGCTAGCTTAATTACTAGGCCTACCTAAATAAGTAAAAATATTATTATATAAAAACACCACACATATGGCAGATGAAGCAAAAAAGATTAAGGACGCATCATTAAAAATGTTAGAAGTCGAATTCGTATTAGACCCCTTTATCAATCCTTTTTGCTTAATCTATAAAAAATAGGAGAACCTTTACTTATCAAGGGCCTATTAAATGTAACAGAAATTAACTAATCTGCTTATAGTGACAACTTAGATTTAAGTTTCCATTTACAAAATCCCCAATTATTTTATTCTATCACACTTCTATATGAGAAACAACACCATAGTAATAAATATGTAACAGAAGAACAAGTCCACTTAGCACTGGCTGAAGCCAAGCTAATGAATCTTGAATGGAAGCAAAGCATATGCAGTATGAGTGCTTATTATTAGGTGCATGAGTGTGCATTTATAACGTGAGGATAGGAATAGCATTTTGATTGAAAGAGTATAATAGGGTTGGTTCTAAGGAAGAATAATTCCTAAGTATTATGCTCCATTTGGTCGCCAGAAGTCCTACACAAATGAAAACAATCCGACAAAATGGTTATGAAACTATTACTTTTTAACGCAGGTTAAAGTAGTGGTTTTGAAAGAAAGAAAGTTGTTTTGGTATAATAAAGCTTAGAATATGCAGGGAACGGAGAAACAACATTTTTGAAAGTGAATTTGTTTTTGAGGGAGCAGGGCCACATATATATTAATATATATATATATATATGCATTCGTTGTAGTGGGAGTGTCAAGCTGGTGCTTGCATCATTATAGCTGAACACACAAACTTGAATAAATAGGTTAATAGAACTCATAGTGAAATTTCATAGAATGATTTTTAAAATTAAGCAATAGGATGTAAATGAAAATATATGAAGAATGAACAGTGAGCAGTAGCATTGGTTTGTGGCTAACAGGTGATAAGTAGAAGATGAATTTGATTATGCTTGTTTGTTTTTGAATAAATCTTTCGAGTCGTTTTATTTGCATGCATTATTGCTCAAAGTGCTATGCAGCTAGCTTGGTTATATTCCATTTTCAAAATCGTCGTATATTATACTAAAAGATTTGATGGCTATTTATTTTGTTAATTCTGCGGCTCATATATTTTACCTCCAAAGTAGCCAACACATTCAATTGTTTTCACGAACTTATTTATAAACAGGATATTTTATATGTTTTTATGCTTACGGGAAGGATATCGATTCTGGGGCAAGGGTTCTAGACCTGTGACTAGAAGGAGAGTTATTCTCATAGGGCGTTTAAATATGTCCTTTAAGCTTATCTTGCCAGTTATGTTCGGGTCCTTCTAATTACATGTCCCCAAAAATACCAGCAAAAGTTTTCCGCAGGTTTTTCATTGTGTCATCGGTATCCTCAACGCTTGGATTCGGCCTTAAAGACGTTTGTCTAGGAGGGACTGATGGTCTACTTGGCCCCCCTGGAGGTAAATTTGTCTGACCTCCCATTATAGAGGATTTGATGGGAGCAACAGTGCCACTGAAAAAGAAAAGTAAAGTCGGGTTAGTGGAAGAGACAAAAAAGAGTAGGAAATACGTAAAAGTAAATAATACTCTTGGAATAAAATTAATTAAATTTAAATGAATAAGATTAATGACGGAGTAAGAGCTATAGTTCTAATGTTCAAAGAATTTAGGCTCGTTTATATATGAAATAAACTATGCTAGGACCTTAGAATAAAAATGGTTCCGCCCATCGCCAGATGAATCTGGGAAGATATGTTCGGGAGGAATAGTGTTTATCTTTTCAACTACGCTTCATAGTTTCGCGCTTGTTTGTAGTGATGATTAGATGAATGAGATATAAAATATATTCGTCTCTGAATAAAAACGACATTTTTGATACTCGCAAGCTAGTTTTGGTTAGATAGAATTTTAGTGACCACAGTATTAAAAGGAAGCAAGAGGGCCTTTAACTCTGAACGAGATTTAATTATAATTTCGCCTATAAATCCTCACTCCAAATGTAGATACAGGTTGAATGAAGTCGGCTGCTGGGCGCTTTACTAGTCCCGTAGCGCTTTTGATGATCAATTTTTATACCTTTCCAGTTAAGATCATAATCCTAAGGTTATAGTAAGCTGTTCATTCACACGTTGGCGGAAATTTTTTTCAAGAATAATTTTCCTTGAAAATTCCTATGCGTGCTTTCATACTCGAAATACTTCTATGCTCAAATACCTGTTTGTTATAATGGCTTAAGGGTTGGCATCTAAGTTTAAACATAACTGTGTAAAGTGCCTACACGAAAATACATCTTTATGTACTCACTAACTGGGTATATTGCAAAAATGCCATGAAACCGAAAGACTATAATTAAGAGAAGATGCATAGATAATCTATTCTCGTTTTATATATAGTATCGGGGTTATGAATTGTATAAGCCTGAAAAATATTAACCTTTAGCTGTGCGTTTCTTTATTCTATTGAATGCTGATTTTATTAAGACTCAATAATTTTAATTAAGCTTGAAGCTCACTTTAAGCTCGCAGGTGGTCTCAGCTAATGAGAGTTGAGAAGAGGTGTACATTGAGATGGAGCGCTTGCTGCCCGGAAAGCTCTAATTCCTCTTTATTTCATCTCGATTTAATGGAGGCCTAATCTCCCCTACACTGTCGAATCCCCAATACTTCTTTGGGATACTTTTTGTTTTGTCATGTTTTATCACAGTTATCATTAAAGCAAGCACATTCCAAATGCTGATCGAGTCTTTATGCTTGTTCTTTGGCTAAATAGTGTTTTAGTTTGAAGGTAGTTTATTGTCTGATGTGTTTTCCAGGGAATATATAATGACGTATTATTTAAGGTCCGTTGGTTTTGCCAAGTAAGATTCAGATTGCTTTTCAAGGATCATCAGTATTATTTTTGAAGAGTTGATCGTATTTGCAGCTGCATAAAGTATGATCACATGTCGAAGTGAACCAGCTGGACATCTATACGTCAATTTACCTAAGTTTGGCTCATACCAAGTACTTCCAAAGCAGCAGTAGTTTATGAGCAAGCCTGGTACTTTAGGGCCTGCTTAACATCATGTAATATGTTTTATTCACTAGGACATTGAATGTTTCAGCTAACAGTGAGTAAGGTTAAGGTTTAATATTGACATTTAAGGAATAAAGTGAGAAAAGACAAAGGATAGAAATTATTCTCTCCCAAGAGGACAGGCAATATTGCTCAGTATGCCAACCCCAAATAAGGATATGAATATGAACGAAATGCAAGATATCCCTGTTATGGTCTACCATTTCAAAAAATAGGCACATATGTTTTCCAATATTTATTCCTATTAATCTATTGCATTCCAATGTCGCACTTCTTCTGATCACCTCTTTACATTGTGTACCATTAAGCCTTTATTTTTATTACCTCTGATTTTTTTGTATTTTAAAGCCTATTTTTTCCCTCAATCTTCACTTTAGTCGGAACAACTTAGCTCGTCTTTAACCAGAAAAAAATTTAGTCGGCAACTTATGTTAAGGGACACAAAAGTGAGGCTTGCTCCTCATTGATATCTTCAAATAAGTTAGAGATACTTAAAGCAAATCCTGAACATAAGCTAAAAATCCTCGCCTTACCTCGAATTGGCTTGTCCCACACCAGCCGAAAACTTCGCAGCTGGAGCTCCAATACCTGGAGTTCCTTCAGGCATTGGTATCACTCTAGATGAAGTGAATCGGTTTGGTGTGTATTTTCCAACCAGCTCGGAGGTGCTCGGGGCAGTGGCCACACTGCTAGCCGGTAAGCTGCCTCCGGATGCTGACTGCTGACACAATGAAGAGCCCCCAAGGGAACCTGAGTTAGAGCCAAAAATTCTAGCCCCACCTGTTGTTACCGTAGTTGGCCCGGGCGGTGTACTTGCTGAGCTCCAAGTTCCTATTAGGACACCATTGGCGCCAACCACGCCAGTAGGAAGAACGGAACTACCCGTGTTAGTAGGACCGGTTGAGGAACTCCCACCAGAACTAGCAACGCCATCATCAGTGCTACTCCCTTCGATACCAACTCCAGTGCCACCACTAGAGCAAAGAAATGCCTGGCTAGGAATACTGGTCTGCGAAGCCCCGGAAGACAGAGAAATGCTGACGCCAGATCCTGGCTTGAGTGGCATTGCAGCTTAGAAGATGCATGTTAACATTACATAAATAATAATATAAAGTTAGAGGATACTAATTCAAACCTCATTAGGGGCTATTGAGAAAGAATAGTAAGATTATTATCACAAAATGTTTTAAGTATAATATTTTATATTCACTAACGCCAGGCCAGACTAAGGTGAATG